TACATATATATATATATATAATAGGGCCTATAGAGTATAATTTGTATTACCAAATATCCTTCAGTGTGGGCCCATCCATTGGAGCAAAGAGTTTCATCCTTGAAAGAGACTGTCTTTCCCTCTCCCAGCAGCCATTGGTTGCCAGAAGTTCCTTAGGTTGTGTTGAGGTTTCTTATCCACTTCATAATGTCTATGCTGGGATTCTATCTGGTTTGACCTTGCATGGGACTTGTACATGCTGTTATCATTGCTGTGAGTTCATATGAGTAGTTGACCAGTTGCCTGACAAACATTGTTTCCTTGTGGTCATCCACCCCCTCTGACTCTGACAATCTTTCCTCCCCCTCTTAAGACCACAATGATACACAAGCCTTGGGAAACAGAAGTTTGATTTAGGCATCCTATTCAAGGAAGAGCACTCTTCAGCCTCTTTGTTCTGTGCACATTTTCCAGTTGTGAGTTTCTATATTTATCACCATCTGCAACAATTGGTCTGGCAAGATATGCCCAACCAGTGCAACAGTGGGATGAATATTATAGGAGTAACCAACTACTCTAACTGAATTTAAGGTCCACTCCACTCCATCATAAGATAGAGCCCATATTTGACATTCAAATTAGGCTTTGGAACCACAAGTCACAAGACAAAGGAGAGAGTTTAATAGTAGTTTTCTACTAAAGTAATTATTGTGTTAAACTGACTGCTAGAGAATTATTGTTATACCCATAGATTAATGCATCTCTCAACTCTCACTAAAGAAGTGTCCATAAAAAAATTGTGTGTGTGTGCACCTCATGTGTACATGGGTATCTAAGGAAGTCAGAAGAGGATGTTAGATCCTCTGGAGCTAAAGATGCAGGCAGTTGTGAACCATCATAAATGGATGCTGGTAACCAATCTCGAGTCATCTAGAAGAGCAGCATATGCTTTTAACCACTGAGCTATTTCTAGCCCCCAAATCTCTGATTTGTAATGTCTTATGTTTATCTCTATTGCAAGGCTTTAAGTGTCAGTACCATGAAATGGCTTTATATATTTTCATTTCCTTCCCTTTCTTCACATTTCTTATTTCATTCTTTTTTTTCTAAGTCTACTGAAGACATGCTATGTGAAAAACATTCTGTTAGGCTGCAGCGAGAAAAGCAATGAAAATTAAGCCTTGTCTTAGAGAAGCAGGGACAGATAAATATATAAATTATTGTATACAATGGAATAGGGTTGATAGTGTAAGATAGGCAAAATAATTTATAAATAAGGTATGATGATTTATACCTTGTGTTCTCAGTAGAAGCACTGAACTTATATTGAAAGATGGAATGTGGTGATAGATGGAGAATGAGAAGGAAACTTTGAATAGGAGGAAAAGTATGAGCAAAGGACTCAAGGCTTAACTTGATTTAAAAAGACTCTGATGTGCCCAGAGTACTGAATTAGTAAAAAGTATACAAGAAGCTGAGACTAAATCAATATAATTAAAGCTTACTTTGGAACTTGGTACGAGTCAAGAAAATGATGAGTCATGGAAAGGCTTTAATATGACCCAATGAGTGTTTATAAAAGATAACTCTGGCAGGAGCACAATGAAATTTAAAGAGGTAAGACATCAAGGATAAGATGGCTAGGTAAAATTACAGAAATGTTGTGAATAACAAAGATGGGAGCCAAAAGGATTAGTGAGAGTGACTGAAGGTGAAAGACACCTACATAGACTACATTAAACAGAGTAGAAAAGTGGTAGGTGATTGGAATGGGGTGAGTGGGCTGAGCAGGTACAAGGGCTGCTGGGAGATGCTGCTAAAGATGAAGTGTCACGTAGTGTATGAGTAGTACATAAACACTGAATATTTAAATGGAAAATACATTAATAGGAGTGAAAACATAAAAGAACAATGCATAATGCAGAATTACCTGAAGTGAATGCCCAGCTGGACTCAGGCTGAATCTAAAAGTTTCATTAAATGAAGGCTCGCGATCATGTCTACACACTCTTGTTTTTTTCTTCATCACCTTTTTTTGAGTAGAGATGTTCATCACATATATTTTCACATATAAATCTGAAAATAAGAATTAAGCCCATTAAGTGTCCATCAGTCATAGTTTTCTGTTGCATGCTGAGTGTTCGCCTTATCTTTTATACAAACATGGTAGATAGCGTAGAGTTTGTTTCAGAAAAAATAGTGATTAAAATTATACCAATTTTTTAGCCATTTACATTTGCTTTATTATTGCTTATTAAATATAGCACTCTAATTTTGTGATGAAAAATCTGCTTAAAAACTAGGAAGACAATTTTATTCATAAAGTAGAAATTAAAATAAATTCCTTTTTGCCTTTTTTGATATATTTCATGTACAGATAAAAATTTAGCAGGACTGGGGAGATAGCTCAGCATTTAAGAACACTGGCTGCTCTTGCCAAGAACTGGGGTTTGAATCCTAGCACCCACATGGTGGCTAACAACCATCCATAACTCATTTCAGTTCTACAGGATCTGACACCCTCTTCTGTCCTCCATAGGCACTGCACGACATGGGTGCACTTACACACATGCAGGCATAACACTCACACACATAAAATAAAAATAAATTAATTAAAAATTTAGCTAGAATGTCTTATAATATTTAAGACACATCCCTAACAAATTAACAGATATCTTACATTGATCATTATTATAAAGCTAGATACCTGGTAAGTGATCAGGAGACTTAAATTTATAGGTAATATTTCTGCACTGGAGAATTTCAACTATTAGTTGTTCACCATCTGTTTTCATTTCCTTTTTTAATGCAATCTTGATTTCGCCCATCACTTGAGTTTTAGCTAGAAGAATTTAACAAAAAAAGTTGAGCAATAACCAATGCTACTTATTAAAAGTTTAGCTTAAGCATTATTCATGCATTCAATATTGAGTAATTTTTCAAGTGCTAGACACTTTATTATATGTTATAAATACAAAGATCAATCAAACACAGTCCAAGCTCTTAAGGAACCAACAGCCTCATGGAGAACAAATTACGAAGATATCTACAATAAAGTATGCTAAATATGAAGATAGGCTAGTAACTAGGGTGCTATTAGAAATTATAAACCAATGGGCTTCTCAGTTACAGATTTTTAGGTTCAAAGTGGTAATAGATGATCTTGTAGGAAGAAAGACAAGTATGGAAATTACAAGATTCTAGCATAGAATAAGAAAGACTTTTGAAAAATAGTTGTTCACCAATAGTTCCTCATTGCCAGACTTGCTCAAGAACACCTGCTACCATAACAAAATGTCTTTGCTTAGTATTTCTCCTTCCTGTTTCCTTTGTAAAATAAATAGTAATAACATGTAGTGATAGCATTACACAAGGCAAACTATGATGAATGATGTAAACAAGATTCAATGCATTTTCTTCCAGTGTTTTATTTTTATCACTGAAGAAACCCTTCACGCAAGGTCAAATTTTTATTAATCCACCCATTTGTCTACCAACCCATGTTCATCCATAGACTCATTCACTAACGAATGATTTATTTTTCGTTCTACTTTGGGCTGAGTACTCTATTAACAGAGAATAAATATATTACATCATGTACAGTGCCAAAACATGAATACTTATTGGCTGAATAGAGTTGTCCACTGATAACTGTATGATTAGAAAAAGTCCTGAAGTACAATAGCATGGTCTCAAAGAGATTGGAACACAGAAAGTCCTTCCTAGGGAAGCTTCGTTAGATCTAAATCTAGGATGAGAAGGAATTACCTGGGTGAAATGCATAGCAAAAGGAACTCTTCTAGAGAGAAGGAACAGTGTACTCAGAAATAGGAACATTTTTTTGAGGAACCCAGGCTATAAAACTGGGGCCATGCTAACAATTTGGTTTACTTATAGCACAGAAATCTTTTGATTCTTGAAATATGGCTGTCAAAAGTTTGCTCTCAAACACTTTGTTTCAGGATATGTTTACACTCTTAAAATATCTGAAAAGCCTTCAAAGAATTTATGTGAAGAAAATATATACATCAACATAGAAATTTCAAATTCTAATTTAAAAATAAAATATTAACTTAGGTATTTTAAATATTCATTCAGTAAGAATGAAAACAAATATTTAGAAATAAATAGGTACTGTTTTATGTATTTTTCAAATGCTTGCATTAACAGGGGACAAATGAAGTCTTACAATTAAATATACCATGAGACATGATTTTCTTACAAGCACATGAAGTTCATTCAATCTCACATAGATGCAGAATTGGAAAAGGAAAGAGTATTTTGTCATCATTTTCAGACACTTGTGGATAACCTTTGACACCACATGAAAACTTAACCAAATGTAATTTCTTAAGGTTATGGGCAAACTGAAGAGCAAAGGGAGACTGAAAGCCCTAAAACTTCAATTTCATAAACAGTAATGGTCAGGAGAGCACACAGTTACATTAACTCTGCTATCAATAAAACTCTAAATATTGATTTAAATTCCACTTCCAAAAGCTAGAAAAAGAACAACAAAGGGGGGAAAAGGAAACAGTACCAGGAAAGAATAATAAAAGATACACAGAAATAACAAGGCAGCAAATCAAATCAGTGGGCAAAAGTAACAAACAAAAATTCCGACACTTCTCAAAGAATCAGCACTGAGAAAACTGACAGTGAACTTAGTCAATGGCATATGACCTCTTAACTGTGACAACATTCTTCTTTCAGTTATATGGTACAAACATTTAGTGTCATGGGTATACACACTCTACTGCTAATTGGCTTACATTCTGTTTATAGAATATTAACAGACAAGAAACTGTAAATCTCATCAAATATATTTCCTTGAACTTGAGTGAGCAAGAATCCAGTTCTGGTTACTTAATTATTTTTTAAGACAGCGTTTCATTTTGTAGCTCTGTCTGGCCTTGAACTTGTGATTCTTCTGTCTCAGCCTCCAGAGTGTTGGAAGTACAAGCATGAGATGCCATGCCTGGTAGGTCTCTTATTATACATTTAAAATAATGAACTTGCCACCAGGCCCAGTGACTTGTTTGATCCCTTGAACCCACATGATAGAAGATGAGAACTCCCAAAGCTGTCCTTTGCATACTCTGGTACATGGTCACCCATACAATTTTAAAAATGTAAAAATATTATTAGCAGAATGAACAAACCCATTCTAGTAAGTTCTTTTTAAAAGAACCTTCTCAGGAAATTAAAGTATGCCCAATGTAAAAATGAGAAAATAGGACAAATTTTAGAATAATTGTCTTTGACATCTAGGGCAATTAGAAACATAAGTAAACCTTAGCAAAATATTAAGCTGTAACCAAAGAGGGAAAGAACTGTAACCAATCTCATATGAGAGAACCTAAAATCTGCTATTCAAGGGATGAAAAGGGAGATGCCAGTCAAGCCCAGCTCAGCAGCATTCCTGAGCACGTGACACATGCAGAAGCTCGCCAGAAAAAGAGCTGGGAGAATAACACACCGCAGCACTTAATTAAAGAACACCAGTGACCCAGTCCTTGCAAAAGCAAATCTAAAAGTTTTAACAGCCTCGACTGATCACGGTGGCACCCTCACAGTCTCAGAACCAGAAAAAGCATCTCCAGCCATACCCATGGCTGGAGTTCCGATACGGCGTCAAAGAAATTCATTTTCTTTTCAGAGGTATTTTTGGAGTGTATGGGGGCAGAAAACTTTTAGCTCAGTATCAAAAGAGGGAGTAAAACCAAAAACAAATTGGGTAAATATATCAAATAACTGCATTTCTGTCCCTAAAGTGATAGAAAGGCAGACAGAAGTGTCCCATTTCTCAAACCATTCCTGAGAAAGGAGGAAGAAAATTCTTGTTATTAATCGTGTTATTATTATTATTATTAGTAGTGTATATTAACTGTACAAAATATTGGGTTTTACTGTGACATTGTCATGCATATGTATAATATAATTTGGTTATATTCACCCTCTTGTGATCCTCTGTTATCGCTACACTTCTGCCCTAATCCCCTTCCTTAGAAAGGGAGGATTGCCACTGAAAGGCAGGTAGTCAAAGAAGAGCCACTCACACCATTTGGAGTCAAAGGAAGTTATTACAGGAGTGATTGCATTAATGACCATGAAGAACTTTGGAAGAGAAATGCAATTTGTCACCTCCTGTCCTCTCACTTAGGAGAAAGGTGGATTTAAAATGTGCTAATTAAAGTTCCCAAGTCATCACATTGCCTTCTTTCTTCTTGGAAGTTTAACTTCACATCCTTCACATCCTATCACAGTGTGATACTTGTGAAGTTTGTTTTAATATCCTTCACTCTGCTCAAAGATTTTTCCAGCTTGCTCTGCAATATTTTCAACTAAAAGGGAAAGGGACATGCTTACTGAAGTTATCTCAAAGCAGTTGATTGTGTTGGATGTGGGAAATCATTTCAATCATATTCACCCTTGAAAAGTTCTGAATGGTTTTGTCTTTTAAAGCAGGTGTTTGTGTGGTATAAAAAAAAATATGTGTTTACTGTCATCACAGGGTGATCACTGGCTGCAGATGCGCTTGAGACTTTGAACCAAAAAGCATCATACATACAAGACGTGTTATGATGCTTTGGAATAAAGGGTAAATGACAATAGAAAAATGCTTCAACCAATCTCTGTGTGACTTGGTGTCTCGAAATTCATGTTTTCTTGATTATGTTAAAAGAGTAATATGTTAAAGAAAGAAGAAAAAAAATTGAATATTTTCTATGCAATCAAGCAATAAATGCTAAAAACAATAGGTATGATTAACTTGATTTAAATGTCACATGATGTACATATTAATTGAATCATCATGTGGTATCTCAAATTAAAAAAATAAAAATGATTATTGTATAAAACCCAAAATTTATTTTGCTATGTAGCATAAACCTAAACCTTGAGTTTAGAAAGAGAATAAAGCCATACATCATGGTGAATGCTTATAATCCCTACATTTAGGAGGCCGAGGAAAGAGGCTTAAAAGTTCAAAGTAAGCCTCAGCCACATGGTGAGTTCAAGGGCCATCTGGGATACATGAGATCCTGTCTGAAGGGAAGAAATGGGGAGGGGGGATGGGGGAGAGAGAGAGGGAGAGAGAGAGAGAGAGAGAGAGAGAGAGAGAGAGAGAGAGAGAGACATAAAGTACATGTTTCAAAATAAAGCAGCAAAATAATAGATGAAAATGAGGAATAAAAGTTATTCAAATAGGGACTGGAGAGACAGCTCAGTGGTTAAGAGTACTGCCTGCTCTTGCAGAGGACTAGAGTTTGATTCCCAGCATCACATGGTAGCTAACAACCATTTGTAACTCCAGTTCCAGGGGATCCAACACCCTCCTCTGACCTCTGAGGGCATTGCACGACATGGGCGCACCTATCTCAAGCAGTCATTACACTCATACATAAAATAAAAATAGTAAATAAAATATTTTTAACGTTATGCAAATAATCTCCTATTGAAGTAGTAATAAATTACAAACACTTGGAAACAAAATTAAGTAAAACTAATAAAGATTGATGACAGAGAACAATGTATTAAGGAAATATGATATAAAAAGCCCTACAATCCTAGAAATATTTAAAAGCTGATTGATGTGTTGATACAGCTCATTTAATACTGTGCTTCACAAAAAATATTATTAAAGCTTGATGGGGAAAAGAATAAATAATGTGCAAGAGCAAATTATTTTATAAAAGAAAGTGGATGTTTTAATAAGACTAGCTATTTAATAAGATATTTAATAAGATAAACGACCATTTAAGAGAATAAGGCATGGAGAGGGGAGGAAAAGAAAGACTAAGGGAAGAAGACAGGAGAGAGAGAAGGGAAAGGGAAGAAAAT